AGGGCTCTGCTGGCGAGCACTGGCGGGCACTGGCGGGCGTCTCTGGGGTGGCGTCGCTCTTGGTCTTTTTCATCCTTTATTCGATGGAGCGCAGCCCATGCTCAGTCCCGCCTCGGCCTTCCCATTTCATCTTATTTCTTTAAGCAGTGACACTTGTGGATACTTTGTGTTCAGTGTGGTGACAGTTCCCACCATGGTCCCCGTTCAACTCTGGGACGGGTGCTGTGCTTTGACAGCCTCTGCCTGAGTGCCCCGAGGCTGTAGCCAGGGTAGTCCAGGGGACCTGGGGCCCCTTGCTGCTCCTTTCTCGCCATGCCACATCTGGCCCACGTGTCACCAGGGCTCTGCTGGCGGGCACTGGCAGGCACTGGCGGGCGTCTCTGGGGTGGCGTCGCTCTTGGTCTTTTTCATCCTTTATTCGATGGAGCGCAGCCCATGCTCAGTCCCGCCTCGGCCTTCCCATTTCATCTTATTTCTTTAAGCAGTGACACTTGTGGATACTTTGTGTTCAGTGTGGTGACAGTTCCCACCATGGTCCCCGTTCAACTCTGGGACGGTTGCTGTGCTTTGACAGCCTCTGCCTGAGTGCCCCGAGGCTGTAGCCAGGGTAGTCCAGGGGACCTGGGGCCCCTTGCTGCATGTGCTGCTGTGGGCCCCTTAAATGTGCATCTTGAAGGTGCAGAAAGAATTTTTTTTTTTAATTTTTTAATTTTTTTCCTTTTTGTCTTTTTTTTGTGACTGGTAACAGGATCGCAACCCTCGGTGTCGCGCCCATACCACGACCGGCAATGGGATCGCAACCCTCGGTGTCGCGCCCACACCGCGCTCAACCAGTGAGCGGACCGGTCTCTATATGGGATCCGAACCCTCGGCGGGAGCGCCGCCGCACTCCCAAGCGCCGCACTCTACCGAGTGCGCCACCGAACCGGCCCGCAGAAAGATTATTGACAGGAGGTGGCTGCCTGTGGCAGAAGGCAGAAGTCTGGCGCAGGGGGCACAAAGGCTCAGGCTTGTGGCTGTTTTCCGGGCACTGATGGCGACAGGGCCAGCAGCTGCCCTCTGCGCCACTCCAGCAGCTCCTGTGCGTGTTTGAATTCTGACGGGCTGTGTCTGCAGAATTAACCACCTGCACGCGCTTTCTTAGACACCACTAAAAATCCAAGTGCCAGCATCCTGGCGCCGCGGGTCAGGGACGTTTTGGCAAATGTTTCACGCATGTTTGTGAAGTAGTTTTCCATGGTTCCCTGCGCCCCTGGCTCTGGACGTTCCCTTGTCGGCGCCTGGGGTCCTTCCTCTTCTTGGGATGCATCTGTGGGCTCAGCCTTCCGGTCCCCGGCCCAGGAGACCTCGCCCTTGACCGTCAGGACTCCAGGCCTTTGTTGTCCACTGTGGGTCTTCTTGGCTGAAGGATCTTTGTTTTGAAGCTCCACTAGTCACGTTTCTCATGATGGAAGGAACCAGGCGAGCAGTCACACGTGAGGCAGAACACGGCGCAGGGCTTTGGAAGAGCCTCGAGGACCGGCCTTTTCCTAACTCTCGTCCCCACCCAGTGGCTCTGCAGAACCCAGGCATCTGTGAAGGTGCCTTTCCTGTCACTCCTGTCTGCGTTCAGGGTGACTGCGTGGCCTTGAGGCCTCCCAAATTTCTGTGCGTCTCGGCTTTGGAGGAATCACTGAGATTTCTAAGTCAGCTTTCACTAGTGGCCTGTAGTAAAGGGCAGGCCATTTCCTCTGTAACGTAAAAGGAGCAGGCTTTAAAGAGTATTTCTGTAAATGCGGCGAGTTGAGTGTTTTCAAGCCTTAAATGAGGAGGGGACTCAGAGTGGGTTTGTCGGGAGGAGCGAGAGGGGAGACAAATTTTATTGTTGGGGGAGTTGGTATTATGGTTAATCCTGTGACCTCCTGGCCATAACAGAGATTAGACATCTGACCCACCAGTGGATACTGGCCCTTCCATTAGGGCAGATTAACCTTGGCTGGGGCGGGGCTGTCTCGCTCCCGCCTGGGGACAGCAGGTGACCGTGTCCCACCCTCCCGGCCACTGTGCTGCCTGCCTTGAGTGCTTGGCTGAGGACACCTGATCCGGGCTGTCAGCCCTCCCTCGTCACGCGGTCCCTCCCGCCAGCATCCAGCACTGTCAAGGCCACTGCTACACCGCAACTGGGGGCTGCCTGCTGGGGAGGGGCACCACCGGGACCCTCGCCCCGGGAGGACACTGCTGGCCACCTGGCCAGCCTGTTGGGGTTGGAGCTGCCGTCTCCCTTCCCAGCACCTGCACACCAGGCTTTCCTCTGCTCAGGTCTGTCCCGAGATCCTTCCGGTCATCATGAATGCGCAGAGTGACGAGGAAGGGGACGCCACCCCAGGTGAGTGGCTCTATCCCTGTAACACAGATGGATCTCAGCCAGAGGAGAGCCCGCTGCCCTTCAGAGTGGCCCTGGCAGGGCTCGTGCCTGGTGACTTGAGTCCAGGCTGGGGGAGCGCAGGGACTCGGCCTAGGTGTGCTGCAGCCCTGCGGCTGTCAGCTCCGCTGCCGTCAGAACCCTCTGTGCATGCAGAAGGATTAGAAAGGCCGGCGGAAGCGGCCCTGGTGATCCTGAGCCTCCTTTTTAAAATCAAGGCTTCCTTTGTTCAGACTTTGGTTGTAGTACGTCCTTCCTTCTCAAAAAATATGTAAACTAAAATTTGAATGTATTTAGATTTAAAAGAAATTAGGGGATACATGAAAATAAAGAATCATGCAGGTAATATGGTCACAGTGTTTTTGTTTTATGGAAATTTGTGTTGATCCCTCAGGTAGAAGCATTTGGTTTTTAATTAAGAGTCTCCGGAGGCTGGTAGGTGGCTGTGGTGGCGCCCACGGTCTCGGCTGCGGGCAGAGCCCGTCTTCCCTTCAGCCCGGCCCCTCTGCTCACGTCTGTCTCCTCGCCCTGTTGTAACCATGACAAGGCACTTCCACATCCCTCAAGTGGACGTCTCTGTCCCCTGGGTACACACGCACTTTTGAAAGCACACCCGATAGGGGCTAAAAGACACTCTTCTCAAAACTTTCGGGGAAATGTATTCTTTATGACATATTAATGATTGTAGTCATGGCTTAAGACTGTTCAATGACCAGAAGGGATGGTCACGGTTGGTTGCAAACTCAATCTCCAAATTGGAAGGATTTACCCAAATTCTGATGGCCTGTTTGGTGGTTCCTTTGGTTGGTTGTGCATTTTTCCATTTTTTGCACTCGCCATACATGTTACTTTGACAGGCGGCAGCATGGAAAACCAAAGGCGTGAGGGTCTCACTGCTGGTGCCCCTCTGTGCCCCACTGTGCCTGCAGCGCCTGGCTTGCTGTGTGCGGGTAGTTGGTGTATGCGTCCTTCGCATGGTGGCCTCAGGGCCAGAGCCTGGTCTCTGTCCCCCGCATTTACTTTGGGGTCTTCCCTGAGGGCAGACGGCTTGCTGAGTGCTCATCTAGCTTAAGTGAGCTGTGCTCTATTTTACCTCGCGACTCCCCCAGGTGGCATTTCAGGGAGCTCCTTTGTCTGTTTTTTGTTTCTTTGGAGTCCTTTTGTCGGGAAGGTGGGTGTCTTCAGTGTCTGACGAATGTTTCATTCTTTCCGAGAGGTCTGAGCCACTGTCGTGGGCGTGGAGTGTCTGTGGGAAAGACATTTGTTTCCTTAGGTTAAGTAAACGTGGTTGCTATGTGCCCGTTTCTTCTACTGTGCAACTGGTAGAAGTTTCTGATAAACAGTGGTTTCTTGCAAACAACAGTCCCGTGCTGCTAAGGAACCAACCGTGACCAGCTGTGCTTTCCAAATAGACTGTGGTAGGGTGGCCAAGCCATGTCCAGTGCTCCTGACTCGGGGACACTTGGTGGCTATGGGGGGCAAAGCCTCCGAGTGCCACCCTTCCCATGTTGGCCGAATCTGCCCTGACTGGTAAAGTGGAGGCCAGAGAGCCGACGACTTTGTCCAGGGTTGTGAACGTGGGGCCGGCCCGTCAGAGGCAAGTCTGAAACTCTTGCCTCCACCTCCCTCTCTGGGGCTGCTGGGCTGTGCCGGAGCTTCCTGTGTGGCTGGTGTGAGAAATGCTCTCACCCGTCCAATGCCAAAGGATGGACATGGGGACATGAGGTACAGCGAAGCGAGACTTTTAATAACGGCCTTGCAAGTCCGGGTGTCCGTGAGTGGGACAGATACACAGAAAAGGGCTGTAGAAAGCAACTTATTCCCTAGTACGCAAGTCCCTGCCCCCACTTCCTCATTGGCTGAGTACTACGGGCTGCATAATCTTCCCGAAAGACACCTAAAGTGTATTACCCCCTTGCAAGGAATTCCTTTGCCTGGGGGCTCAGCCACGAAAAGGCCCACTAAAGCCCCGTGAAGGGAGAAACACCAGGGACTGAAGAAAACCGTGGGGCTAGTAACCGGTCACCATCTCAGGACAGCCTTGTCTGTTCAGCGACCCTCCGGGAACGGGCTGGACCCGTCAGACAACTTTTGGGCTGGGCCTGAGTCCGTTAGAACACCCCCAGCTAGAGCATTTCTGAAAGTGAATCACTTAGATTATTCTCTTACAGCTGGCGCCGGCACCGCTGCCGGGGCTGGACCCGTCAGACAACTTTTGGGCTGGGCCTGAGTCCGTTAGAACACCCCCAGCTAGGGCATTTCTGAAAGTGAATCACTTAGATTATTCTCTTACAGCTGGCGCCGGCACCGCTGCCGGGGGCGTCCGCCTTTCGTGCCTTTTAGACGGAGCGTCTGGTCCAGAGATGAGCACGTTTCATCTTCATTTGCTCCAGAAATTGCTGGTGACTGCTGCCTTCTCTAAACAATTGATCATCGTGCCCAGAAAGAGGACACTGAGCAGGAATCCACTTAAAACAGGAACTAGCGGGGCAGGGACCTCCACCGGGCCTCCATCTCGGAAGGACACCTCCAGTGTACAGGAAAGATTTCTAGAAGTTCGGTTTTGTTAGAGCGTACTTGTAGTTTTCTTTTAACCTGACTTTGATGTAACTTCAGACCAGAAAAGCTGCAGGGAGAGCGTGAAGACTTGTGCGCTGTCTGCCGTGTTGCCCAAATGCACTGCCACATGCGCCCCGTCCTGCTCCCTCCGTCCTCCCGTCACCGTCTCTCTCTCTCTCATCTTTTAACCTGACTTTGATGTAACTTCAGACCAGAAAAGCTGCAGGGAGAGCGTGAAGACTCGTGCGCTGTCTGCCGTGTTGCCCAAATGCACTGCCACATGCGCCCCGTCCTGCTCCCTCCGTCCTCCCGTCACCGTCTCTCTCTCTCTCTCACTTTTTTCCTGAACTGTTTGAGCGTAAGTAGCAGATATGATGCACCCGTGACAGGGTGTACTTCCTAAAACAAGCCCGTTTTCTCTAAACACCCCCGCGGTGTGGGTCGCAATGCCAGGAAGTGAGCGCTGGCACGAGAGAGATGTTAGGTTTCACCAGCTGCCCGTATGTCCTTTATACGAAGAAAGTCTGGGGTCGTGCTTTGTGATCAGTTGTCCTGTCTCCTTCACCCTGGCACTTTCCCCGGTCTGTCTCCTGTGACGTTGGCGATTTTGAAGAGCGGGGCTGGTTGTTCTTAGGGCGTCTCTCAGTTTGGATTTGTGTGAGACCTGCTCACAAGGACGCATTGGCAGGAGCCCCACCAATGACGTGTGTCAGGAGCACAGTGCCGGTCGTCCCGTGCCAGTGACATCAGCATTGGCCCCTGTTGACTCCGCTGAGTGCTGCCCATGTAGCTCACACCCCGCTCCCCAGGCTTCACCACTGGCCACTGGCGGTCCCTGCCCAGGGCAGTGGTGGTGGGTTCCTGGTGGGTCTGCACTTCCTTTACCGCCTCTACCTGATGAATTGGCATTCTGCAGCAAGGAGCCGCCTCCTCCCCTTCGACCCCTTTGCTTGTGTCATAGGGACGCATGCTGGGTCAGGGTCTTGCTGTGATCAGCTGTCTGACGCTCAGGCGGCCTCAGTAGTCACCGGGCCACCTGGCTGCCTTCTGCCGTGTCCCTGTCACTTTCTGAGCACTTCCTTCCTTCAGGCTCGTGGCACGCATCCCCTGCCTAGCCCCGGAGTCACCGTTCCTCCCGGAAGCCCTGAGTGGATGGTGGTGCCAGACTGGTCAGCTGCTCAGGGCACTCCTCACGCTGCCCACCCGATGCCCACCTTGTGTCTCTCCCTCATTTGTCTCCCCAGAGTATCTCCTTTCTGCCGCTGCTCTCCAGAGCGTGCGTCTGGTTCTCTGGTATGGCCGCCTTCTAGCTTTGAATGTCTAGACCCGTGGGTCATGGTGACTCGTGGGCATGGTGTGGTGATGGGGACGCAGGTCCCCCAGGCTGCTCTTCCTGCTCACCCCATATCTCTGCCTGCATCCAGCACCCAGGAGCCTGTGCCCAGCTGCTGCGAGGGCCGGGTCCGAGGGGCTTTGTGCAGAGGGGACAAGTGTCTGCAGTGCCAGGCGGGCCATGAGGAGGTGCTTCTGAATGCTTCCCCTGCCAGGTCCCCGTGCCCAGGACATCATTACTTGCCCATCACATGAGAGGGTTCCAGGCTGTCTGCAGCAGTGGTTTGCACTTGTCTGGGGCAGCTGGAGCCTTGATGATGACAGCCTCCAGGGAGCAGGAGATGCCTCCCTTTTGGGGATGGGACCAGTGCTGGCCCAGCTAAGGGGACCCTGAGCCGTGTGGCAACTGTGGGTTGTGCTTGGAGGGATGGCTGGGACACTGGACTGAGCTGCTGCTGGGAGCTTCCCCAGGAGACGTGGTTGGGGTCTTGCTACAGGTGCCCCATCAGTGTGCCGCGTGGCAGTGGATGGGCATACACTGGGGGGACGGGCACCTGGCTGGGAGCCCATGGTTTCCCTTGTTCTGATGTGGGTCGTAAAGGAATCTTGCGGTCTGACCTAGGCCCTCATGAGGGTCCCGATGTGGTCACATATTGAGGTGCTCTAGTTCACAACTTAGGGACCTCATAAGCGGCACCCAGGGGCAGCGCAAGACTTCAGTGATGGCTGCAGCTGCTTTGGAGGTCCAGGCTCCTGTGGGATATGTTGCTCCTGGGACAGGGCCCTGTTTTCTGTCTCCCCTTTCACGCAACGACTGCAGACACATCAGGACTTGTGAGTGAAAACAGTGCATTGCAGAGCAGTAGGCCTTTGTGGTCTCCTGTGGGCTCCACTTTCCAGCACACTTGAAATGTGGCCCCTTAGAGAGGAGTAGCCACAGATGCCACCACCCCAGACGGTGCCCGCCCCGGACAGTGCCTGTCACTGAGGGTGTCTGCCTCAGGTGGTGCCCACTGCAGACAGTGCCCATTGCTGGCCTTGATGAAACGTGGTGAGGGCCGCTGCTCATCCTG